GGGGGAGGGTTAGGGGGGGTAGGAACCGTCGTTTTGACAAACGGAGCACCGTAGGTACCCCAAACGAACTGGTGTAAACAACTGGTGTATAAGTAACTGGTGTCATTTTAGACGTTCCCTATATATATATATATATATATATATATATATATCCATTTGGCAATTTTTTTGTGGACGACATAACAAAGAGAGCTATTAAGGTAATATATATATATATATAATACAGAGTATATATATACACACACATATATATCCCTATTTATAGTATCCACAATAATCATGGTGAGTACTAATATATCAAAATATTGATGTTAGAAATATTAACTCAAATAAAATATTAATAGCATTACAAGACTATTACTAGTTACTGATAATAATACGCCAAGCTAACAAGGTCTAGTCTCTCTAGGCTTTTGTCAAGGACGAAACTCTTCCCTACATAGGCTCTATCAAGGGCGAGTCTGCCTTATCCCCTACCACGCTAGTAACTTTTTGTATTAGAGCTGTTTTCTATCCTACTCTTACCAAAAAGTACAGTTCCAAACTTTGTGTCTTTGCATCTAAATTATGTTGTTCCATTGATGAATATGATTTATACTGGATATAGAGATCAATTCAACATATAGAAATTTGGAAAACTGATGAGATTGAGATTCAATTGTTAATCTAAATGGGGGTTTACCTTCATCAATATTACATACAATTGCAAGCTTAATTTATAGGTTTACACAAGATCAAGTCTCTCTAGGTTTCTATCAAGGGTAGAACTCTTCCCTATGTAGGCTCTTTAAGCATGAGTCTGCCTTATCCTCATTAGTCTTTAGCCCAGTTGTCCCTATGGAGTGTGTACCCAATGGCCTGTGGCTCGTATGGAAGTCCATATCCAGCGGTTCGTGGTCCTTTAGGTGTTGGCGCTCAAAAAGAAATAAAGGGAATGAGAGTTCATTTGCAAGTGGTCAACCGGTTAGATTCAAAATGGCCCGGTTGTCCACTTGAGAGGGAGTGTTAGAGTGCATCCCACATCGGAAGTTCAAGAGTAAAATAATCGGTTTATAAGCTCTTGAGTTAAACTAAATAATCGATTGGATTCAATCTTTTAATGTGGTTTAGCTCAAGTCTCTTATTACCCAATCCAGTTGTCCCTATCCCATCTTAAATTCTATCACCTATGACCGGTAGTTGTACTGTTGTAGTATCTTAATTTGGTTAATATTCATAATATCAATATTGTTATAGATAGGAATCTTGAGACTAGTATAAATAGAGGGTCTCAAAATTTTTAAAGGAATCAAGTACTTTTATTAAAATTGCAAAAAATGAACAGATACATCACATCTAATGGCCCCATACACAGGCTTAGGGAGGCAACCATAGTGATTAAAGGTATTGTAGGAAGAATAAAAGATAGAAAATTTAGCTAGGTTGTGGGCTGGAGTGTTTCCTCCTCTATAAGTGTGACTTATCTGGCCATTCAATTCATTCAAAGCGTTCTTGAGCAGCAAAAGTCTTGGATCTGCATTGTGGTGACTACTACTTTGAAGAGCATTGACAATGCTAAGGTTGTCTGTCTCTACAATGAAGGGGTAATTGGTGAGAGTCTTAGCCCAGTTAATTCCTTCAAGTGCTGCAAGTAGCTCTCCTGCAAAGACATTTGAAGTATGTATTTGAAAGGACTTTGCTCCTATAAGTATCCCCTTGTGGTCTCTCAGTTTTGCACTTGCTACTGCATGTTCTGATGTGGAAACTGCATCAATATTAAGTTTGATCCATCCTATTTCTGGAGGTTTCCATCTGCCAATAGTGTGCAGATTTTTGTGAGAATTTAGGGGCGAGACCTGCAAAGATAAGAGACTAAGAGAGTGAATGGTTGTAGCTCACTTAGCTTTTTTTGTGAGCTACTTCATTGAAAAACATTGTTAGTGATATGTCTCATCAATCTGTTGAAGTTGAAGTCCACATTATCATACAACATATTATTGTAAGCCTTCTAAATCTGCCAAAGCATTATTCCTGGGACGATAGCAAGCAGATAGCCCTGAATATCATTATTGGATGATTTGAGCCACCAGTGGAGGAGTGTGGCTTGGATGGAGGAGCCAATTCTGTGATCAATATCTAAGTGGGAGGCAAAATATGACCATATGAAATTGATAGGGTCACTGTTAAAGAAGACATGCATTGTTGTTCCTTCACTGTCCTTAAGGCTTTGGTTGAGGAGTTTCCAGAGGAAATGGCTGACAATGGGTATTTGTTTGGGGTACCATAGATTTGAAGAGGTGATGATCTCATTGGCTGGGTTTGAGAGCAAAGTATATGCTGCTTTCAAAGAGAATCTCCCATTGAAACAAAGAAGATCATTGATGTGTGTGGAGGATTCAACATGTTGGTACAACTCATTATTGATGTGATAAAGCCTTTTCCAAAAAGGGGAGTCATAGGGTTGGGGGAGCCTCCAGACCTCTTGGGTATCTGGATTTTAGAATGTCCACCCACAGTGCATCACTAAAGTAGAATTGCCACCAGAGTTTGGTGAGAAATGCCTTGTGTAGAGAATCAACATCTCTAATTCCCAGGCCACCAACCTCCTTTGGTTGGCAGATGTGTCTCCAAGATTTCCAATGGTGTTCCTTTTTCTCTGTGTTCCCTTAGTAGAAGTTAAACATCTTTCTATTTAGAGTGGTGATTACACCATTGGAGATTCTGCTGACAGCCATGATACGTCTGGGGATTGTAGAGAGGACATGTTTTATCAAAACGAGTCTACGCATGGGGCGGAGATATTTGAGGACCCATCCTTTAATTTTTCTGTCAAAGTGCTTAAGGAGAGTCTCACAGTGGTTAAGGAGAGTCTCATAGAGTGTCTCAATTCATTTAATAATTTAATATATGCAATTCTAGAGTTAATTATTGTCTCTTCCACCAGATCTAAGAGCCAAAATTCCCTCTACTCTGCCAATGGTGAGAAGGAACCCTGCCTTGCCAAGGGCGAGTAGTTCTTTATTGTCATAGTTTTATTTTTCTTCATTGTCTTCTTCCAACCGTGCCCATAATGGTTTCCTCATCTATTACAAATCAGTGGTTTCATCATTTTCTTTCTTTCTTTCTGTTGTCACGGATAAAGTACATTCGATATTAATGAATATATTTGCTGAAATTCAGAGCTGAGTATGACCCAAAGAATGATTTGCTAGATGAAGAATTCATGCTAAAAGGGAAGTGGTTCCAACGGAAAGATTTGGAGGTACAACATGATATATTTGGAATCATAATCAGTTAAAATTTACTGCAATTATCTTTATCTGATGTCTTCATTAACGACCTTTGATAATGTTTTGAAAGGAAAATTTGGGCCTCAAGGTGGTGGGACTCTTTGACATGAGGTGTAAGCCTCTAGGCATAAACCTCAATTTAATTTACATAGAATAATAAAAGAGTTGTATGCATGAATAGTCCTTGTGGTCTTTCATAAGTGGGTAAATAGTCCTCAAACTCCTAAAAGTTGCAAAATAGTTTTTGTGGTCAAAGAACCATTGCAAAATCAGTCCCTCTATAAGAGAATTTGTGAAATGTGCACAACAAGCGTGTATTATGCAAAGATGTGAATCATGTAACAATAAAAAAGCTAATCTAATGTTGTATTTGTGATGTGTAAGTTTGAACCGTAGTAAAATATCTTCCATTTCTTGGTTTAACCCTCACAACGACTTCTTCATATCTTTAACAGTGATATTCTTGAATTGTAGAACAATGTTCTATGTGAACTTGACATTATTCTGGTTTTCAACTAGCTTTATTCTTAAGTAATATAATGTGATATAAGAGCTAGAAAAGACAATTCCTTGCCTTTAACCACGAAGACGAGAGCAGTTTCATCAAAATAACTTCTTTTTTTGTTACATGCTTCACATTTTCGCACAGTACACATGACTTCTTCGCGCTTCACTTTTTTCTTAAAGGACTAATTATGCGTTAATTTTTTTACCACAAGGACTATTTTGCAACATTTAAATGTACAAGGACTATTTACCTACTTATGGAAGACCACAAGGACTATTTATGTATATAACTCATAATAAAACGATTCAATACAATGCTTAATGCATACTGTGGAATAGAGTAGTACTCTTATTGCATTGGTAAATTATCATGTGGTACAACAACAAACAACAAACAACTCAGCAGAATCTCATAGAAGTAGGGGCTGAGGGTGAGTGTATGCAGACCTTACCCCTACTAAGGAAGTCGATAGGCTGTTCGGAAGAGACCCCAAGCTCAAACAATAGAAACAAAAGAGCAGGTAAGTAGAATTAATAGGTAGATCAGATAAGTAAATGATAAGTAGTACTCTGTATGATCTTAAAAACATATATTGAAAATTTTAATAAAGAGAATCAGAGAATGTTAAAAAGCCACTAACTATTGTTGCCAAGTTCCAATAAGTAAATAAGTAATAGATTAGAAAAGAAAAAGTAATAGACTGATAATATAATTCTCCCATATAAAGAACTACTAACTAAAATTTCAATTAAAGAAGAGATTACATAAAGAGGGAGGGTGTGGTGGGGAGGGGGGTACAATGATTAGAGAAACTAAGTGTTAAAAGAAAAAGATGAAGAAAACAAGATGATTGGTTGCGGACTATAGATGAAAACAACTATAGTTGTAGTTGAACTTGAGTGAAGGAGAAGACTGAGACACAAAAGAGGGTGATGCCTTTTTTAATTGGCTTCTAGGTTATCTCAACATAAACCTAGGTTTCTACTATTTACTTTTTATAGTATGGTTGCTAGAAAGGCCTCAATTGAAGCAAAGTAAATAAAGGCTTTGTTTGAAAACAACCTTTGTGGTTTGCATTTTGGATGATTTTTTAATGGTGCAGATTAATTTTGAAAATATTAACTTTAAAAGCTACGGTTAGATAGCATTTTCAAAACACTAAAGCTAATGCCACACTGAGCCAATATAAATATTAAGGCCTAATAGCATCAAGGCCCAATACCTTTTAAGAACTTCCAAAAAATCATGATAAAAGTATGAGGCTTATGCCTCATTTAAGCCTTGTGCCTCATACGCCTCATCCACCTAGAGCATAAGCCTCGAAGTACCTACGTGAGGCTAAGCCTTTAAGGCTTAAACCCGCCGCCTTTAAGCCTTATCGCCTCAAACGCCATTGAAAACCATGAGCTTTGTATAAACATTTTTTAAGAATAGTGCATACTCTATAGTGAAAACCGTGAGCTGGGGCGGGGGTCTCTTGGAAACAACGTCTCTACTTTCGAGTAGAGGCGCAAGGTCTGCGTACACATACCCTCCCTAGACGCTACTATCGTTGGATCCAGCTGGGTTGTTGTTGTTGTTGTTGTTGTGCATACTTTATTATGAATGGCGTTAAACGCAATCTCTTCCTAAAAAAAGGATAGAGGGTCCAGTTTCAGAAGTTAACTTTAATTTTTAGTTAACATTCCTGAATCGATAAGGGGCAAACTATTTTTTCAACTTCTCAACAATCTCAAAAGTATGTTTTAGGAGTATAAGTGACCATTCATAGCATTCATACGCTTGTACCTTTAAGTAGTTGACAAAAAATAAAATTGTACCTAACTCCAACATGACTTTTTTTACAAAGGGTCTATATAGATAGCTAAAAGTAAATTCATAAGAGCATTTATAACAAGGAGCAACTTATGAATACGGAAATGCATCTCAAAAGCAATTTGATAGTTATTGTTGGACTAGAAACCCTCAAATAATTCCCAAAGAAATAACCAAAGTGTCTAGCGTTTAATCCCAAATCACTGGGCTAGGCTGCATGAACCAAGAGGTTTTACTAACCAAGAGATGATCTCCTTGGGTCATCAAGCATCTACACCTGTTTTATTTTTGTCACGTGCCATGTACTCCTGAAGTGGTGAAACCCCAATGCCCAGAGTCCTTTTATACCTTCTCAATGTATGAGCTTTCCAGAGAATCCAAGTGATTGACAACCAAAAGCATATCCTTCACTTGTAAATGTATATTTAGTATGCCATTTGTCCCAAAAAGTTCTTTGGACTTATATTTCAGGCTCAACTTATTTTTTAAAACCTATTCTCATTTTATCTTTTGAATATATAAATTTTATCTTTTTCATACTTCAATTTTGAAATAAATTGAATTAAAAATAACTTCAGTCAAACCTCGTAATCCAAAGTATCAAGAATTTTATAGGACGGAGGGAGCATTGGTCAATAAATTCTCATCATTTGACTGGCACATGTTTCGTCTACTCTGTGTGTAACTGTTTAGATCCCGATAAATTATTGACCTCTGATAAGGGATCAACACTTGCAAATTTTCCCTTTTATTTGATTTTCTTAGTAAATTGATGTGTTCATTGGAAAGGTATACAAGCGACGTTTGAGGAAAAGGACAACGGGCAAACAAACAGCAAATTAGGGAACTCTTTTTGGGCCAAAAATTTATTTGTTTCCTTTCGTGGAGCAGATTTACTTTGCTTTGTTATTATTCTTACTATAAAACATCACAAGTAAGAGCGTTGGTCTCGTCTCATTAATAAATATCACAAGTATTGAATAACGAAGGCAATAACGGAGAAGGAAACTCCATAATACAACTGAACACTTTCTCCTCTCTTTTCACTGATCTCTGCACACAGCCAGCGGCCTCATCCTTCATCCCTTAGGAACACAACATAAATAGTAATAGCTGAATGATATATATATATATATATATATATATATATATATATAGACACTCACACACATTCATCCATACGTACATATTTATTTATGTTTTGCAAAGAAATCTGTTGCCTAGTTCTTTCAATTGCCTTTTAGTTGAATTGCTGTTGTCATGTTGCAGGTTAAAAACATTAGGGGTGATACCCTGAAATGTAGCCATTACATGCCTATCATATATCTTGAAGAAAAGCCACTTCCGTGTGTAATCTACTGTCATGGAAACAGGTTTGTGAAAAACTGAAAATATGCACATCTAGATAAAGTTTTGGGCAACAGTAGAATACTAGATTGGTGATATAAGGTTCAGAATGATTACTTATTCATACTAATTAGTCCTATTCCATAATTTTCTTCTTATTTTGCTTATAGTGTTGACCTAAAATTTCCAAACATAGAAAAAGGGAAAATGACCAATCCACCTCTTTACAAACCCTCCATGGCTCCAAACCTACATCAGAATCAACTTCTCTCTTCCTCATATTTCTGTGTTTCCTTTCTCTCACCTCTCTACATCCCACTCTCCGCCATCTGTTTGCTGCTGCATTTGTACAACTAATGTTCTTATGTTTGTGAGGTACTAATTTAGATCCTCAAGTGTATTACTACGTACATTATTACCCACCACAACCCCTTTAATTATTAACCCTCAATAGAGAAGGGAAAAACTAATAAAATAACTAATCTACCTCTTTTCCAATCGTCCACACTCCACACCTACATCAGAATCAACTTCCCTCTTCATACTATTTTCGTATTTTCTTTCTCTCACCGCTCCACATCGCATTCTCTCTGCCATCTGTTTGCTTCTGTATTTCTACAACTAATGTTCTTATGTTTGTGAGGTAGTAACTTTGATCCTCAAGTATATTATTCCATACATTATTACCCACCACAACCCCTTTAATAATTAACCCTCGAGAGAAGAGGGGAAAATCTAAGAAAATGACCAATCAACCTCCTTACCAACCCTCCACTGCTCCACACCTACATCAGCATCAACTTCTCTCTTCATCATATTTCCCCCCCCTTCTCTCACCCCTCCACATCCCATTCTCTCCATCATATGTTTGCTGCTGCATTTGTACAACTAACATTCTTACGTTTGTGAGGTGGTAATTTAGATCCTCAAGTATATTACATTATTGCCCATCACAACCCCTTAAATTAGTAACCCTCTAGAGAAAGTGGACAAACTAATTACTTTTGACATTTCCAAAAAAAGCGGGTCAAGTCAAAATAAAAGGGAGAAAATTATGGGACAAATAGATTAAAGGGTATGTATGTGTTGCATTAGCAATAGGTATACATATTAGGCATACTTTATGCATGACTACTGCAGAAAGGAATCGTACTTGAAAGTTGAAACTGCCTTCATACGTTCAATTGACTCTAAGAAAGCAATTGATAACCGTTTCATGCATTTTTATCAACCTGCGTGGCTGCATCTCTCTTGAATGTAAATTATGATCTCTTTCTAGTGTATCCAAATGGAGAACTATTCATGAGTTATTCTACACATTACATTTGGCTTTTCAGATCATTTTCTCCTTATTTTCTCCTTAGAGTCAATTTTGTGCAGAGATGGCCTAACTTCATTGGCTTTGTGTTTTCTTTATTTTGGTTAAGTGTGCATTAGTACTAATGTGTCTTCTAGAACTTAATTGTTACTAAATGCCTTATTTTCAAATGATTCTCTGCCAGTGGTTGTAGAGCAGATGCCAGCGAAGCTGCTATTATATTATTGCCATTAAATATTACTGTATTCACCCTTGACTTCTCTGGATCTGGACTGTCTGATGGAGAGCATGTTACTTTGGGATGGAATGAAGTGAGTAGCTAAGCAACATGTTGCCTTTAAAAAGAGTTACTTGAATGTTGATCTCCTAATAACTTATTTTTGTCAGGAAGTCAAGCAACTTTGTTCTGTCACATTGGATACCGTTTAACGAATTGAATATACTAACAATCATAGTTTTGATGAACCACGGAAATGGAATTAATGTGTCGAATTATTTAGAAACATGTAAATATTTTTACCTAAGGTTATTTTCTAATTGCTTGAATTTTGAGAATTTGAAAATTATTGATGCCAGTGTTCTGAATTCTGATAAGCTGCCTATAAGAGCTTTGTTACCTTATGAATCCTATCATGTTACATTATTTTGGAGATTGCCTTTTTAGTATCATGTTTTTACGGTTATTGACATATACAGTTTTTCGCCTGTTTTGTAGAGGGATGACCTTAAAGCTGTTGTTGAATACCTACGGCAAGATGGAAATGTTTCTTTAATTGGTTTGTGGGGTAGATCAATGGGTGCTGTTACAAGGTATTTCTTATCTTCGCATTATATTCGATCGACTATATGCTTATTACACATGCAGTTTTTTAGAAATATTTAAAAGAGTCATTTTTTAACAATATTTTCGCTTTGGGTAAATAATGAACTAAATAAAAAATGGCATTTTGTAATGTTTTGGATGGTAAATGCATCAAGGGTATGAAGGAGTGGGGATTATCCTAGGTTTATTGTTGTTGATGTTGTGTTGCGATGAGAAACTAATATTATTATCCATATATAGATCTTATGTTGCCAAGATTATTTTTTACTAGCACATGCATGTGGAAATAACCTACGACGATGACCGTTCTATTCCCTCCACCCCGAATTAGTCATCTCACTTTCATTTTCAATCCGCCCTTAAAATGTCACACTTCTTTACTTTCCTAATAAAGTTAAGAATATGTGGTCCACAATTTTTCTCCTTCTAAAGAAACTTCAAGTGTTCATTTTTTACTTTTCAACACTTCTTAAATTCCGTGAAGTCAAACTGTGTCAATTAATTTGGGACAGAAGGAGTATATCTTTGTGTATTTATTCCTTGTGAAAGTTGTGTTAGGAAGAGCATCTCGCATAAACGTTGCCTTTATGTTTTTTGCATGAATTTAGTGTTAATTAATTTTAGACAATTATTTGACAGTATAAATTTTATGTCACTAGAACTACTTGTGGGATTGAGGTGCTGATAATGATGATGATATGGTCTGATGTTAGTAATTAACTTGACGCCTGTATTGATGTAGCTTGATGTATGGAGCTGATGATCCTTCTATAGCCGGCATGGTTTTGGACAGCCCTTTCTCTGATTTGGTTCATTTGATGATGGAACTTGTTGACACCTACAAAATACGGCTCCCCAAGTTCACAGTAAGGTCCTGCTTAATTTACACATTGTAGATTTAATGCAGTGGGAATGCCATATGTATGCCTTCCTGGGTTATATTCTGTTGTCTTTAAGGCATGCTCATCCTCTCGGCATCAAACTTTGCTGGTTTCAATACTTCAGATATACTAACATCTCTTGAGTTTAGGTTAAGTTTGCCATTCAATACATGAGGAAAGCAGTTCTTAAGAAGGCAAAGTTTGACATAACATTGTTGAACACTATCAAGGTATTTGAAATAAAATCCTCTTTTTTTAGTTCCAATGTTTAATCGGGTTTGTATTGACTTTACGTCTTTACCACATAATTCTGATGTGAAAATTAATCGCATGCCAGTTATTCTATTCTTATAGAACATTTGAGATTATCATAATTGGGTGTGTTTCCGGAAATGAAGTTCACATTTTTAGAGGCTTTAGTTCTTTGCATTAATTGTGCCTGTGAAATAAGAATCATTTGCTAAATTCATATATGATCTTAAAAGTTGCCACTTTCCACCCTTCTATCGCGGGAGCTCTAAATTATTGCTTGATGTCAATTGGGTGATTTGTTGTTGTTGTTGTTGATGTCAATTAGGTGATTTTGGAGTAAATTTAAATATTTGAACTAGACTGTTTTTTAAACAAAATCATATCCTTTTGTCCTAATGGCAATCGTTTAATGGGAAATAGTAGGCATTTGTTATATTGTTTCTTAATAGGTTTGTTAGACTAAGAATATAGTGACACTATGAAATTATGTTGTGGCTTTTCCAAGTGAAATAGACTATAAGTTTGAAGTGGTATTTCTCTTTTTTATATTCTTTGATGGCAAATTCTAAAGGAGTATTTGCATCACAATAACACACTTATTACTTCATCCGTCCCATAGAAAAAGTCATGTTTTACCATGGTACAACTTTTAAATTTAGTATTGTACAATTATTGGAAACCATCAATTTTAGATGTAGTTTTAAATTTATTACTTGGCTTAACTAAGTTTAACATGTTTAATTTTTTTGAGATACTTTTTTATGGAGTATAATAAAAATTAGATATATGAAAATTAGCCCATTTTTTGTTCAAATAAGAATTTTTGGTAGAAAAGTTAGTCTTCAAATAGAACTTTGTTTTTGGGGGCGGAGGGAGTAATATTTATAACAACCTCTCTACTTTTAGTAGGGGTAAGGTTTACGTACACACACCCTCCCCGTATCCTGCTCTTGCAGTATTCTACTTGAATGTTGTAGCAAGTACTCCCTCTGCCCGGAATATTTTCCCACTTTTGACTTTTTTCGGTCAAAATTCGCAAACTTTGACCCCAAATTAAATAAAAATGATTTGAGATATTGATACAAAAATAGTTTTATTAGATTTATTATATAAAATATTTTCAAAATATTATTTTATCTAATTAATGTAAAATATATATTTAATTTAATTATAGGTCAAATGTTGAAAACGGTTGATTGAAAAAAGTCAAAAAATGGACAAATACTCTGGGACGGAGGTAATAATACTTACGAGTTTCGTACTTAGTAAGTTGGCACACCGAAGGCCAAAAAGGCTTAGTACAGGTTTCTTAATAATTTCTTAAGAATTCATTTTAAACGGGTACTATTGTTTCCTGTTCATTTCTGTAAGAGGAAGAAATTTGGTTTATCTATTGATTTTGTGATGCCGTATAGTCAATCTTATGATTCCATCACTTCTTTGTGTAATTCTGTCCAGGTTGCAAAAACTTGTTTTGTGCCTGTCTTGATTGGTCATGCTTGTGATGATGATTTTATACGACCACATCATTCTGATCGTGTGTTTGAAGCATATATGGTAATCACTTAGATTTATTGATTTTCCGTTATTGTGCTAATTATAAGGGTGATAATGATGATGATGATAACTATTTGCATTGCCAATATGAGTCGTAAGATCTGAGCTCTTTCACTGCATCCTCCCTTGCCAAATTAAAAGCACTTCAACACTGGATTTATTTTGGAGGGGGGAGGGGGATAGTGCTCTAATATGGAAATGATTTGACTTATTTTACTGAAAGGGAAAATTACATTCACTTTTAATATTTAACAAGCTTATTCCGTATTATTTAAATTTTGCAGGGGGACAAGAATATTATCAAATTTGAGGGTGATCACAACTCTCCACGCCCACAGTTCTATTTTGATTCTATTAGTATCTTTTTCAACAATGTTTTACAGCCTCCTGATGACGAATTAGGGAATACATATTTCGATGCGTCACTAAACTTTTTTGGCAAGGTATTTTTCTATCAGCCCACCACCATGTTATTCTTATTCTTTTCAGGGGACCGAAACTGTTATTCTGCTAGATTGGTAACTAATAAGATTAACTTCTGTCACCTTCAGAGTAGTCGGAGTAGCATGCATGAAGTAGGATCTCCTGAGGATGTTTCAACAACCACTGTAGGTATGGATCCTGCTCTTGATTCTGCTAGCTTACACCATGTGTTTGGCTATTCTGATCATTTTCTGATTGTCAATTAGGGCACATGTTGACATTAACTTTGTCATCGTTTTCTTGTAATTATAATTGATAGAATTTAGGATTGGGTAGAGACAACTGGATTGGGCAATAAGACACTTGGGTTGAACCACATTAAGAGATTGAATCCAATCGATTAGTTAGTTCAACTCTAGAGCTTATATGCCGATTATTTTACTCTTGGATTTTTCCGATGTGGGATGTACTCTAACACTCCCCCTCAAGTGGACAACCGAGCCATTTTGAATCTAACTGGTTGACCACTTGCAAATGAACTCCCATTCCCTTGACTTTTTTTATGAGCACCAACACCTAAAGGACCACGAGCCGCTGGGTATGGACTTCCAGACGAGCAATCGTGTTAAACAGGCCACAGGTCGTTGGATACAACCTCCATACGGACAACTGGGCTAAAGACTAACGGGCCGCTAGAAATGAACGTCTAGACGGACACCTTGACAAACGAGGTGGGCTAAAACTGGTTCTGATACCATGATAGAATTTAGGATTGAGTAGAGACAACTGGATTGGGCAATAAGACACTTGGGTTGAACCACATTAAAAGATTGAATCCAATCGATTAGTTAGTTCAACTCTAGAGCTTATATACCGATTATTGTACTCTTGGATTTTTCCGATGTGGGATGTACTCTAACAATAATAACTAATCTATGTCTCCATCCCTAAAAATGGGTTTTTTCTTGTATCTGGAAATTTTGAACCATTGAAAGTACACTCTCACCTTTCAATTATCCACATTAATTCAACTTTGCATTATAAATTAGTCAGTTCCTCATTGGTATCACTTTTCAACGTACTCTTTAAAACCTGTGTCATTTTCACATAGAAGATCAATTTGGGACGAAGGGAGTATTGTTTTTAGTACTAGAAACGTAATGGTTTCTTTAGATGGAGGAGGCATCTTTTCTGTTCTTGTGCATGTTTTAAAACATAGTTGATTGGTGTGATTTATTTCAGGTGCAGCGGAGAGGAGCACCGAGGATTGCATTAAGCACCTTCGCTCCAAAAGGCCTATGAGTAAGACAGAGGTATCAGTTTGGAGTTTTGTAAAAATGTCCACATGATGATGACTTTTAACCTTTGGAATATTTGCTTTGAGTTTTTTCTTTAGTGCACTACTTGATGTCTAATTCTTATCCTTATCAATCCATTTTCAGGTACCGGCAAACATTGGTTCAAAGGATAAACAATATGAAGACAAGGTGTTCTCTCTAGCTTCACATTTTTCTTTTTAGCGAAACTATTCCTTTTGTTCATATTGATTTTCAACATATAATTTTGAAGACTATTACAATGTTTTTATATGGATAAAACAATGGAGGACATTAATATATGTTCATATACCAAGCAGGAGCATGAGAAATATGCTCCAAACTTGATACAAAACGAGGAATTTTCTGGAACTTGAAACTTCACTCCAACTAAACTTGAAATGATGCTTTTCAGGAAGTGGAAAGTTGCGCTGGTCTTCTTGTTAGGAATAAGCACACAACACACACAAATAATCTGCGAGAAACAAGAGAAACGGAACACAAACGACACACAAGAATTTAACGTGGTTCAGTTTCCCTAATCCACGGCTGCAACAGGAGGATTTTCTTATTTCACTTGTGGTGCCGATTGTAAGTACAAGTATGCAATATATATAGGAAGAGTGCATCTAGGGTTTCGTAACATGGGCCGGGCCAAAAGTCAAGCCCAAGCCTCCACAAACCCAACATTCTCCCACTTGGAGGCTTGATAGTCATCAACTGCCATCCACCACGATTCCCTGTACATCGAGTAATCTTCCTCAGCTCTCCTGTTGCAGCGGCCCTATCATCAGACAACTGAAAGGCCCGTTGAAGCTCTCCCAAGCTCCAACACATCAGTCACGGCAAAATCTGCCCCCGACTCGTCCTCGGTCCCTACCGGCTCCCACTGTAGACGCACACTGCCGGATCCTGGAACATCCTGAGAACAAACACTCTCCATACTCAGCAAGAAATTTTCTGGAGATGTTCCAACAGCTGGAATACTGGTTCTCCTGACCCACTGTCTTCTAGGCAACTTGGCTGAAGCGCCTCTTGAGCTCCCACTGCCACAAATACCTCTGATTGACCCCCTTGAACCTTTCCACGGTCGTTCATCCTGAGTCTGACCAGTGGCTCTAGGTTTCTCTCTTGCACAGACAACCTTATTCTGCCCACGAGACTCTGTGAACCGGACTTCGTTATTCTTCTGAACTGGGACGCTCACTCCCTCAGATGGTAACTCGACCATATACAACGAACCTCTCTTCCTTCCACGGGCCATGACAAGATTTCCCTTCACAACCTTCCACTGCCCGTTTCCGAACTTCACCTCGTGTCCTTGTTCGTCCAACTGCCTGACAGAAATCAAACATTTCTTCAAAGTCCAGAAACCGACTGCGGTCTTCAGCACTATGTCACCCATGCCCGTCACATCAAGAGCTCTGTCGTCCTCTAGTCGTACGTTTCCAAAGTCCCCAACAACTAGATTCTGCAATTCTTCACCGCTGTGGGTAGCATGAAATGAAGCACCAGAATCTATGACCCAAGAATCCACATTGCTCTCCGCACAATAGATAAACAAATCCTCGTCGCTCGCGGAGCGTTCAGCAATGTTTGCTTGCTTATCCTCTTTTTGACATTGATTCCTAAAATGCCCCACCTCCTTGCACTTCCAACATGTTACGCCTGAGCTATCTCGAGTCTTCGATTGACTCCTTCGTCTGTTCTTGCTCCCACTACCTCTGCTATATCTTCTGCCTCTACCAACATGATGCAATTCACCAGATGACTCGCCTGAACTCTTTCTTCTGACATCCTCGCCAAGAATGAGATCTCGAATCTGATCAAAGGTGAATCCATCGGGTCCCACTGAACCGGTAACTGCTGTAACCGTTCCGGACCAACTATCAAGTAAAGACGATAGCAGTAGCAAAGCTTGAACTTCATCATCGAACTTAATGCCCACTGACAAAAGTCTGGCTAAGATCGAATTCAGCTTATTGATATGCTCGGTAACAGAAGTGCCTTCTTTCATTCTTGTGTTCACCAGCTCTCTGATCAGAAAAATTTTATTCGCTGCAGATGGCTTCTCGTACATGTTAGACAGCGCATCCATAATTCCCTTCGCTATCTTCTCCTTCAGAATGTTGAACGCAACATTCTTGGTCAACGAGAGACGGATCACGGACATTGCTTTCCGATCCAAACCTGCCCAATCTGCATCCGACATCTTTTCTGGCTTGTCACCCAATACCACGTCCAAATCTTTCTGAACCAGCAAATCTTCAATTTGCATTCTCCACCAACTGAAATCTGTACCATCGAATTTCTCAATTCGGAACTTCCCATCTTCTGCCATCTCTAACGACAAGATGATATACTCAATACAACTAATTTCAGATCTTGATATTTTTATCAGATAAGATATCTAGGACACAAAAAATTAACACCACCCAGAAAAATTTTCCCCCCACCAATTATGGTCCAAGACCAATCAATTATACTGGCCCACCACTATCTCCAAATTCCAAAGAAAAAATGAAAAATCATGCCACAATCCCACTCCCACACCTCATTGTCCAAATCAGCACCAAAAAAAAGGAAGGCAATTGTGCACCAACCTTTTCTTATCTTCAAAATTGAAAATCGGGCATTGTAACTAGGATACAATGACGGAGGCTGGAATTATGCACGGCGGCCTAGGATGATATCGGCGGCAGTGGCTCTCACAACCTGGGCGGCAGCTACTTACGCTCCGAACAGCAGCAACGGCTCGCGGCTGAGCAGCTGCAGTGGCGCGCCCTCGCGATGGTCAAGCGACGCTGAATCTGCCTACTGCGCGAACTAACTCCCAGCGGCGGCGGTCTGCAAGTAAGCAACGGTGGCACGAAATCTTGAGCGTCAGTGATCGGCGAGCGGTCAGACGACCCCCTGCTCGCAACACTGATCTGTGCTCCTCCAATTTGGGTGTGGCTAGTGGCGGCGGCTGGATGGACCAGAGCTGCTCCTCTGTGCGCGGCTAGTGGCGGTGGCTGGACAGACCAGCGGTTGCACCTCTGAAGGCGGCAGCGGGGCGAGTCTCTCGTGACTCACTCCTTGCTGTGGCTTTCACGATTCAAGCGCGGCAGCTCTCCGTGGATCGACGGGGATGGTGGTGCTCCGGAGGCAGCGGCCCAAACACAGGCTCCTTCTACTGCACAGGGTTCTTTAGGTGACACCCCTCTGATTAGTTTCTGCTGATCGGATTTCCGGTGTTGACGAACCAACGCTCTGATACCACTTGTTGGGATAAACGCACGCGGAAACAACACACAATCACGAATCAACTGCAGAAAAATAAACGGCACAGGATTTAACGTGGTTCGGTCGCCAACTGCGACCTACTCTATACGGGGCAACTAGGAGGATTTTATTATTTGTTGTTGCACACCATTACAAGCACATTAGCATCTCTTAAATAGAGAATAATTAGGAGAGCACAATGATTAGGGAAGTTAGAAGCTTCTAGGTAGTTTCCTGCCAATTTCCTGTTAGCTTCCTGGCTTCACACTCAACAATCTCCCACTTGAAGCCACGGAACAATGTTCACCTGCGCTTCAACTGTGCACATGTACTTCTGTAATCTGACAACGGAACTCAAAATTCCACCACCTCTAGTTGCCACCAGCCTTCTTGATCATCGAGAAGACTCTGTTGAAACCCTCCTGAGTTTCAACCCATCAGTCATGGTGATCATCGAGAAGACTCTGTTTACCCCATCGTCTTCAAATATGATCAGCTTTGACCTCTCTAATGGTGATGCACCTGATCGTAATCCGATAGACGATGATGATTATGTGGAATACTCCCTTGATAATTTAGCAGATTTTCCAAGCAGTATGGAGGAAGAAGAAAGGGTAAATGCACGTGTTGATTTTTAATTTTTAAAAAGGCAAAATTCACAATTACACTCCTAGAAATTAGAGATTTTACATAAATACTCCCAAATTTGTTTATTTACACCATTACTCCCACATTTCTCTTTTATTTATGTCGTTACTCCGCGATTGCTTCATCATCAGTGTTTCTCGGGTGCCTCTTTTTATACGGGGTTTTTCATCTTTTTTATTGAATTCAAATTAAATTAATATGAACAGACTTGATATTAAACATTAAAAAGATTTAAGAAGTTTGAAATCTCAATTTTTTTTAAAAGTGATGGGAAATAAGGGCAATAATTAGGCTTACTAAGACGTGAGAAAGACGATGGAGAGAATAAGTTGAAGTGAATTTAGTATATTAGAGTGGAAAAAATACATGTCTGCATTTTAACTGTTCACTTAACGCAAAAATGACACATCCAAGTAACACTAATGATCACTACCAAATTTGGGAGTAACAACGTAAATAAAAGAGAAATGTGGGAGTAATGATGTGAATAAACAAATTTGGGAGTANAGGCTTACTAAGACGTGAGAAAGACGATGGAGAGAATAAGTTGAAGTGAATTTAGTATATTAGAGTGGAAAAAATACATGTCTGCATTTTAACTGTTCACTTAACGCAAAAATGACACATCCAAGTAACACTAATGATCACTACCAAATTTGGGAGTAACAACGTAAATAAAAGAGAAATGTGGGAGTAATGATGTGAATAAACAAATTTGGGAGTATTTATGTAAAATCTGTAATTTCTAGGAGTATTCTTGTCAATTTTGCCTTTTAAAAAAAAACGGGAAAGTCAAGATTTACATGATCACGTTTGCATACAATAACTGGTTTTAGATTAAAACTTTTTCTCTGGTAAAAATATTTCAGATGCTTATGGAAGCAGTATTAGAGTCACTTAAAGACATAGAAGTGGCAGGAACGGCTCATGCTGAGTCAAACAACAGCCAACCAGAAACACTCCACACTTTTCCGGACTCGTCTTCTTCAACACAGAGCTCAGCCATAAATGAGCTTCCAGCTGCTGATGGGCACAATCCAGCAAAGGAAGCCAAAACCAGTGAGACATCTCCTCGCTGTGAGAATTCCATTGCGCCGGTGAATGAGTCCCCAACTGATTGTGCCAATGGGAATGCGTCGAAGAAGGAAACCGAAAGCAGTAATAGTGGTACTCCCCAGAGTTCATCCAGCTCAGATCACAACAATGCCAAAGTTACTGCGGTAAAAAATCCACCGAGCAACAACCGGGGGGATGGTTTGGTGCGTTGTTGGGACCTCGGTTTCTTCAAGAGTAGGTAACATCGAATGTGGTGATGCTCGTCATAGTGTACAGTTCTGCCATATGAAAATCAAAGTTAGTCCAGTGAATATTGGTTTTTTTTTTTCGAAAATTTGAACCATGATATATGATTAGAAGTAGCTGGAGAAAAAATATGCAATATCGAAGGATGCATTCATTGTGTTAATTTGGCTGTAAAATATGGATTGATCAAAATTTGTTTGAACGATATTCATTCCCGAGCATTGTTGTAAGAGCTAAAATGGATGCACTGTCAAAGTATGGCATTGAAATTTAAATGTCAAAAGATAAGTTCATATTTCCTTTTATGAAAAGAAAATGTGGTTTATATTATTGATGTCAATAAAGTTAATATATCATTCACCGGTCCAAAAGGTGGAATCGCCCACCCCAGGCGCCCCCACCCCCTTGCCCGACAGGAATGGTGGAGGATGTAAATCATGGTGACTCAGTCGGCCAAGAACGCTAGACCCGTGCCCACCGCGCACAAGGAGCCTCCTCATCCTTTATGAGATTTTTGGATAGCTCCTACACTGCCGCTTGCGAGACTCGATCCCTGGTCATCGGTCCAAGATTTCACGCTCTTGACCAACTGAGCTACCCATGGGGGCAAGTTAATATATCATTCACATCTCAATGGTAACATGTCAAACTCAAACCCTTATTTTGAGATTGAATGGTTAACACTGAGGGCTTGTTTAGTGGGTTTTAAAGGAATGATGTGATATGAATCCTTAAAATTTGCAAAAATGAAATTTGAAACAAGTGTGTTTGGTGTGATATGAAATGATGGTTGTTAGGCTGGTTGGTGTGGTGTCAGGGAAGGGGTCGGTGTGATGAGTTGGCCGTGGGTGCTGAAGGGGAACACCGCCCCCTGCCACCCCCTACATCTCCCGTTCAGCACGGGGTCAGGTCCACGAATTTCCCGATCTTCTCTGTATCTCTCTCCTTTCTCCTTTCACTCTTGATTAGTACTCCCTTCGTCCCAAAAAGATTTACACCTTTCAAAAAAAATTGCGTCCCACAATCTCTTACCCATTTCTATTAAAAAACCACTTTTACCCCTTACTTTTTCAAATCCTACCTATCACATCATACCTTTTTCCTAATAATCTCCACATCACATCCTACTTTTACCCATCACAACAAGGGTATTTTTGGAAAGTCAACACAAAATTATCCCTCCCTTAATTTCAACTTTAGTCAAAACGTGTAAATCTTTTTGGGACGGAGGTAGTATTATCCCTACCCATACCCCAGCTGACGTGCTTCCTCTCTTGTTGAGGATGAAGCTTATTCACATGGTTAAGCTTCAATAGATTTTATAGTTATTTTCATTATCTAATAAAATAATAGTTGCGTTAGGACTTTTGATGCATTTTTTTTAGTATATGAATCCTACTCCCCCGTTCCAAAAAATATTTCATGTTTACTCCGTACTATTTTAGGCTTTCGATAACTTTTGTTTGTGTGTGCTTTTTCATTGGTCATTTCAAAATATTCTTGTCAACACTTGCGTAATCACATATTTGGAGGGGTAAGATGGGGGTCTAGGGTGGGGGCGCAAGGGTCTGGTTGGGGGGGATGTGGTGGGGGTTTAAGGAGGGGGTTAGAGGGATATGAACCATCAATTTTATGAACGGACCACCGAAGAAGTTTCAAATGAGTGAGTGTCATCCATTGATAGTGAATACCACTGTTCATGGAAAGCGAAATATACAGGGAGTAGTACTCATAATGGTCTAAAAGACTACTTATAGGCAATATTTGATCTGTGTTTGGGTGACTCAAACCCATCTTATTCTCTTAGAATTCAATATCAATATCAAAAAAGAATGAACCTCCATCTCCAAGAGTCTCTTAGCACCGCCTGGATAGTTAGCTGAGAGAAGATAAATAAAGTTCTAATACTACCTCCGTCCCTAAATATTCACAACATTTGCTTTTTCAGCAGTCGCGGGAACTTTTGTTTATTTCAACGTTTTCATTGGTTATTTGATAAAATAAAATATTCTTGACACCTCTCATTTCGAAGAATTTTTCTTGTAGTTTTTTTATATGTAAATTTTATTTTTTATTTCTATACCAATATGTAAATAAAATGAATTGAAAAAACTTGATATTTAGCCTCGGAAATACAAATGTGGCAAATAATTTGGGACGGAGGGAGTATCAATTAGTTGAGGTAGGTGTGGAGTTCCATGCATGACTGATACTTGTAGAGACCTCATGATTTGCATGGTTGTCCCTCAACGTAGACTTTAAACTCAAAATCTCTCTCTTGTAACACACTCTTATGCCAACCGATGAGCTACACCTCACCGGCAATATGTGTTTATAGAGTTTATTATGCACCTTAGATGAGGTGTAGGTGCATCCATGTTCTCCTCAAGCACACATAAAACTCTCAAGTTTTAAAATATATTATATCCATCTCAGAATATGTGTCTATCTTTACTTTTTAAAGTTAAGCTAGATAAACTTTAATCATCAATTAAACAAACATTATACCACAATTACTAGAAAAGTAATTTTACTAGATTTATCACGTAAACTTTTTTCATTGATTTAAATTTATCCAATTTAGAGTTATATCTCAAGAAATACTTTTAGAATGTTAAAACGATTCCTTTCAATTGAAAAGGGGTCATTGAAATGAGGATGAAAAAACTTGTTCGATGTTTATAATTGCTTAACTTGGCAAATACTTCAATTCTGGGTTTTCATGCAAAAAAAAGATAAAACCCAACCACTTATGTAAAGGCTCAGTAATGGTGGGTGGGGGGGATAAAGATGTCATTGTCAACACAAAAATATTACTCCCTCCGTCCCAAATTATAATGCATGTTCACTATTCACAAGGTCAAACTTCATTCACTTTCTTTCTCTATTTTCGTTAGTAATTTGATAAAATAAAATACTATTGTCACTACTAGTTTTGATGTAGTATTTTAATATGTAATTTTTATTTTTTAATTATATACCATTTGTCATACAAAATAATTTGAAAATAATTTCAGTTAAACATCGTAAACCGAAACATGCATTATAAAATGGGACGGAGGGAGTACAAAACTTTGAAGTTTTACAACTTGTTCTTATTGACAAGCTGAAGTAGCTTGCTTATACATAGACTGGAACTGGGAAGAGAGGGATAAAAGGGTGAGAAATGTCCCGTTGAAAGTTAAAAAAACAGCCCGAGTTAGTTTTACACCCGCTTTGCACATTTACGTAGGAGTATAAGTTAAAAACAGAAACAAGTAAATCATGTGATATCCCAACTTTCAAGTCTTACCTTACCAGCACAGCACCCCCAACCCAATGACTTCTTCCCTCTAGTCCCATGCCGCCGCCAATGCCATCATCCACAGCGCAACTCTTCTCAGGCGTTAAGGACCAATGGTTTATAATGTTAAAGATAATGGGTACCCAAGCTGCTAAATTCTGAAAACCCCATAAATTTTCCGTGGTGCAATTTGGTTTTATAGGATACGGCAAACCAGAAGCCGAGCTGCTGCAAAAAGAAAAAGTGTGTGCTATTCTTAATACCACTGGGTTCCTGAGGATCCACTAGGAGCTGCTGCAGCTACTTTCCTGGCCATGTACTGGTCGGCGGGTTTAGACCCTTCGTTCCCTTCTTCTCCCTTTTCATTTTTACAGCTTGGGTGTCTCTTAGAATATGTCGTAGGGTTAGAGATATGATACTGAGGCACCATAGTAGTAGTAGTGGTGGTGGTGGTGGTGGTGGTAGGGTGGTTGTTCCTGCCAAGCAGTCTTCTTTGTTGTTCGATCGACTCAGTTCCTGATCCACCACCACTATGGCGCATCACTGAACTTACAATTCTACCAGGCCTCGCACCGTCACCTTCGTATATATTAAGAATTTTACACCATCAAATAAGTGGAGAAAAAATGGCAAAAAAAAGAAGAAAAGGTTGACGACAAAGAGGGGAGATGAATGATTCTACCTTGAGGAACTTGGAGAGGAAGCCTTGTCATAGGAACTTCTGAGCTCCTATCCATGAATGACTTGTCTCCATCTTTGATAGAACATCTAGACAGACCATTTGCAATGTCTGTTGTATTTTGCATTGAATTATCCGAGTATAACACAGATGCCCTGTGCCCAAATAATTATCCATTCATCAAATAAAATTGTAAGGACATCACACAAAAAATAAAAAGAAATTTTAAAATAATAAAAGAGGCATACATAGCTACTACCTGGGTAAGGATGATGCTTGTTGTCTCTCAGGAGGAGCTACCACGCCACCTTTTCCATAGTGCTCTTCAAGATATGCAAATTGTTTCTTAAATTTGTCCACTGCACTGTAATTAATAATGAAGTCGGAAGATATAAATAAATAAATAAATGTTTGGCAGATGTCTCATTGTGCCTGACCAATGCAAGCACTACATTTGCAAATTCAAAAAAAACCTTCTTGGATGTATTTGCAACAAAAGTTTTTCATCCATTTTTCTAATAATAAAGATATGGAAAGAAAATAAAACCATGCAAAAGCATTGTTGTTGAAAGGAAAAAGAGATCGATAAAGTAAATAGCAATACCTAGGATACATAAAATTCGTTGGTTCTTCACCTTCCAAGTGCTCCTTCAGCATCTTTGGATGGTACTCAAGAATCTCTCGGTATATAAGCTCCCTCACATCCTCCTTTGTTATCCTTCGCCTCTCAAATTCAAATTCCATTTTTGTAACAGGTTGAGAAGAAGGCTCTCGTTCAACTCGAGCCAAGTTCCTGAAATATGGGTCTGCAAGTGCCTGCCAGTTTGTGACACAAAATGATCTTTGAGAAACTGGACTTGAAACTATCATATGCTAAAACTTCATACAAGATAGGTGCATATATAAATAAATAAATAAATAAATATATGTGTGTGTGTGTGTGCATACCTCTTCTGCAGTAGGTCTATCCTTAGGATCAAAAGCAAGCATCCTTTCCAGCAAGCGAAGTGCAAGGGGGTCGACATTTGGAAACTTCTGGCAGAAAGGTATGGGTCTTTTTCTACGCATACTGCTCAAATACCTTCTAGCCTTTTCGTTTCTGATCTGTGATAAAAAAATATAACTATTAATCTATCATACAAGCTATGGATGAAAAGGAATAGACCAAATCATTAAAAAATAGATAAAGGTAGGTGCTTACCCTTGCAATTGATTCAGGAGAAGGTGTTCCCAACATATCAGTCATCAAATCCAATTGGTGAACTACATTCTTCCCAGGAAAAAGAGGCTTTCCGGTTAATAGCTCCGCAAAGATGCAGCCAATGCTCCATATATCAATAGCTGGAGTGTACTGAGAGGTGAATGTAAGTAGACATACTTCAGTATACATGGTGTTGGTCAAGAAAGTGCAAAGGGTACATATTAAAAGATAGCCTTCTGTATCTACTTTTACATCAGCATAATGATCATGAACATTAACAATAATACAACCTTGGAGAAAAATGATCCACACAGTTCAGGAGCGCGGTACCATCTTGTAGCAACATAATCCTACAAGAATAGAGTTTAGAAATCTATCATTATCTTAGATAATTTGAGCACATTCATAGAAATATAATTGCATAGTAAATATCAAAAACTGCATGAGAGATACTTACTGTCCAAAATATAGCTGTTGGAGTGTCATTGAAGGCCACTCTTGCAAGACCAAAGTCACAGATCTTGAGCTTGCAGTCAGCATTTGCTAAAATATTTTTTGGTTTCAGGTCCCGGTGAAATACATTGGCTGGAAGACAATTAGTGGTATCAGTTATTGGAAGTTTACAAATGATGACTTTTCATTCACCACCAACATCATAGCAGTGATGAGGTAATTGAACAAAGTATTTTGCATATACTCCCTCTGTCCGGTATTAGTTGGCCACTTTCTACATTTAAAATGTCAAATAAGTTCTTCAAACTTGTTGGTTACTCATTCAAGTCAACAATGCTCATGCTCTATCTCTGGTAAATTTCACACAATTTAACATTATTTCTTTATTGAACATAGAAAAGGGCCAATTATTTCTGAACAATCAAAAACAAGAATGTAGACAACTAAATTCGGACAAACGGAGTATATTAAATGAAAAGCAAAACCATCAATGACACAACCTGTATGTATGTACTTCAACCCTCTGAGAAGCTGATAAAGGAAAAACTGATAATGTTCTGGAGTCAAATCATCGTTTGCTTTGATGACTTGATGAAGATCAGATTCCATTAGTTCAAAGACTACGTATATGTCCTTGAATTCCCTTCTAGAAGGAGGTAGCAATATATGCTTTATCTCCACAATGTCTGGGTGCCGAAGAAGTCTAAGAAGCTTAATCTCCCGAAGGATGCGTGTAGCATCAGAAACATGTTCAAAGATATCATTTATCTTTTTGATAGCCACTTTTTCACCAAGGTGTGTATCATATGCAGAACAGACAACACCATAGCTACCTTTTCCAATTACTTCCTCTACTCTATATCTGCTCCCTTCACCATACTCTGTGAAGAAATCTACTTCCGCAGATGACTGCAAGATGATTGCATTAAAATATTAAATTAAAACACCATTCAATACAGAGCTTTCTAAGATCTTGCTTCTCAATAGCCACATGCATGGGCGTGAATGCTTACAATCAAATATTCGAAATAAATATTACATGTGCATTTTTTGGGCACAACAGAAGGAATGTCCTTCAAAAGAAATATTATGCATGATATCAGCATAACTGTGGGGTTGTGCCCTCGTAAGGACGAGCTTGGAAGTCTTATTTTAGCCTGGATCACTCATGTAATCTGTCTTTGACTATTACTATGTTTGGAAATATATATGACCAGCTTGGACAGATGGAGCCTGAATGCAGAAAACGCTCTTCTCCACATAAGCATTGCAATATTAACTACAGCCCAACCACAACCATATTTAAACAGATGGCTTTCTTTCCTTTCACTATCATTCACTTCCTCCATCCCAAAAAGAACTTTCGATGTGAAAATAACATTGGTTTTAAGAGTATGTTGAAAGGTGCTATATATTGGAAAATGACTAGTATTTAATAAGATGTGGGGTAGAGTTTACGTTGGTTAGTTAAGGGGTGAAAGTGCCTTACCAAATTTATATTGCTTGAAATTTCTGAAAAAGGTAACTGGAGATGAATATGGGACAACCAACAACAACCCAGTTGAATCCCACTACAGTAGGGTCTGGGAAGGGTGTGTGTACGCAGACCTTTCCCCTACTTGGAAGTAGGGAGGCTGTTTCCAAGAGACCCCCACGCAGACCTTTCCCCTACTCGGAATTTGGGACAACCAAGTGTGGGAAAATGATTTTGGGACGGGGGAGTATCTTCTACCAAAGCAAAACCCTTCACATTCTATCCCTTTACAAAACGTGCTACACGGTCTGACACCTACATCCTTCATCGCAGTACTAAGAATCAAATACTCTAATCTAACCTAAAAATTCACAATAATGGGTTGGAGTCGAACTGCCACAAATCTAATGATAGAACCCCATATAAACTAAGCCCTAAGGCACAAGAATTTGTACCCACTACCCAATGAAGAAATGAGATCGAGTCCCCACTATTTTCAATCTGCAGCGTATGTGATCAGCACATCAACTGTGCCTCTAATAATTTGGACAGAAGAATTGATAAATGGGATTCACATAAATGGTTTTCCAAGTACTGTAAACTAAGCTGAAAGCAGATACACTCATTACCTTTTTGCGCTGATCAGGCTGCATATTCCAGAGACAGTAGAGAGAAACAGCAAATCTTAGCTATCAATATCAGAGGCCAAATTACCAAATGAAGCAAAAAAAAAAAGTTCACTTTCAACCCACCCAAAAAAGGTTCAACCTTTTTTAGGATCAAATCCCCAAAACCCCCCAAGAAAATAGTAATCAGAACAGAAGAAAGCCCAGGGTAACTACTAACTACTAAGGTGAAAAGAAGAACCCCCAAATCGGGATGCCCAAAAACGGTAAAGAAAAGATTTTTCAGATGATGGATAAGGGGGAATCTTGATTGGGTTTGAGCCGGAGAGTGAGTGTGTGGGTCAGGAGATTCTACGCGTAATAAAAAGAAGAAGAAGAAGACATGATGGTATTGAATACAGCTGCGATTAGGAGTGGTCCAGCGAAGAAAGGAACAGGTGGCTGTGGAGACAAATTAATGGCTTTGTGAGTTTGCAAAGTGCTGTGGGGAATATGAATATCAATGCGCAGCTTCGCGAGGAGAGGGAAGGGCATATCTCTAGATCTGGAGAGAGAGAATATCTCTTATCTCGAGTTTGGGGTAAATTTCACAAATGGTACCTGAACTTTAGCTGGAATTTCGAAGTAGTACCTGAACTTCAAATCCTTTCACAAAAATCCCTGAACATACACAATCCTTTCACTAATGAGCCATTAGCCCGTTTCTAGGTTAACTTCCGGTCATTAGGGCCAAATTCGAATTTTATATATTTTAAAATTTTCAATTTGACCCCATTTCTTCTTTTCTTTTCTTCCACGTCCCGCCGCCGCCGCCCGCCGGTCAAAGTCGCCGGAAAATGAACTTTTTCCGATTCCGGCGGGACCAATGTCATTCTCTTCGTCTTGAGACGAGGATCAATAATATCCAAACCATTTTGTCTAATTTGGCCTGTAACTTCTCGAATCTGAATTTTTCTACTCGAAAAAACCCTAAAATTCGAAATTGGATCCAAAATTG